ATTTTTGTCTTCTTTTTCTGATACCTAGGTAGGATCCAAAATCAGTAAGTTTTTAGATACAATACTATGAAAGAAAAAATTAATAAATTTGACTTTATTACAATTTAAAACTTTTGCACTGCAAAAAAAAAAAAAAAACCCTTGTTAAAAGAATGAACAGACAAGCCACATACTGGGAGAAAATATTTGAAAAAAAAATTGGATATAGGACTTACATCCAAAATAGGCAAAGAACTCTTAGAACTCAATGGTAAGGAAACAACCCAATTTAGAAAACGGACAAAAGATCTGCTGAGACCAGCTCAGTTGTGGAGACCCCAAGCCAGGCGGTGGTGAGGGAATTAGGAAACAGACACAAAGATAGAGTGCAAAAGTGGGATCAGAGTGGGATGTCAGGGGGCTGACAGTGTTTCCCAGCCCAGAGCAGACTCTGACCCACGTATTTATTCTTCGTGAACAAGTGATTATTTTTAATAAGCAGGTGCTCAGTGTTTCTTCATAGAGTAAAGATAGACTAAACATGCAGATAGTGCCTGTTCACTGCTAAAATAGAAATAAGCTAGAAAACACTGTGAGTCAGCAATGGGGACAAGGTCAAATATCCTCTGTTTGGAAGCTGATTTAACTAGTGCATGACCGGTACATACTGCTTACTATTCCAGCAGTTTTCTGCCTGGGGATGGCTCGGTGTTCCTTGCCGTCACCTCTCAGCAAACAACATATACTCCATCACACATGTCAAGACCTCCTCCAACAACAAACACTTCACCGCAGATGATAGACAGATGAAAAATAAGCATATGAAAAGATGCTCAACATCATATGTCATTATAGAATTACAAATCAAAATGGCAATGAAATATTCCTACACACATATTAAAAGGGGTGTTTTTTTTTTCTTTTTTGCATTTTAGGTTTTGGGGTACATGTGAAGAACATGCAAGATTGTTGCATAGGTACACACATGGCAGTGTGATTTGCTGCCTTCCTCCCCTTCACCTATATCTGGCATTTCTCCCCATGGTTTCTCTCCCCAACTCCCTACCCCCCGCTGTCCCTCCCCTATTTCCCTCCAACAGACCCCAGTGTGTGATGCTCCCCTCCCTGTGTCCATGTGTTCTCATTGTTCAACACCCGCCTATGAGTAAGAACATGCGGTGTTTGATTTTCTGTTCTTGTGTCAGTTTGATGAGAACGATAGTTTCCAGGTTCATCCATGTCCCTACAAAGAACCCGAATTCATCATTTTTCATAGCTACATAATATTCCATGCTGTATATGTGTCACATTTTCCCAGTCCAGTCTATCAGCGATGGGCATTTGGGTTGGTTCCAGGTCTTTGCTATTGTAAACTGTGCAGCAATGAACATTCAAGTGCATGTGTCCTTATAGTAGAATGATTTATAATCCTTTGGATATATAACCAGTAGTAGGATTGCTGGGTCAAATGGAATTTCTGTTTCTAGGTCCTTGAGGAATTGCCACACTGTCTTCCACAATGATTGAACTAATTTACACTCCCATCAGCAGTGTAAAAGTGTTCCTATTTCTCCACATCCTCTCCAGCATCTGTTGTCTCCAGATTTTTTAATGATTGCCATTCTGACTGGCATGAGATGGTATCTCAATGTAGTTTTGATTTGCATTTCTCTAAGATCAAGTAGGCTTCATCCCAGGTACGCAAGGCTCATTCAACATACGCAAGTCTATAAACATAATTCACCACATAAACAGAACCAAAGACAAAAACCACATGATTATCTCAATTGATGCAGAGAAGGCTTTGACAAAATTCAACAGCCCTTTATGCTAAAAACCCTCAATAAACTAGATATTGACAGAATGTATCTCAAAATAATAAAAGCTTTTTATGACAAACCAACAACCAATATCATACTGAATGGACAAAAACTGGAAGCATTCCCTTTGAAATCTGGCACTAGACAAGGATGCCCTCTCTCACCACTCCTATTCAATATAGTACTGGAAATTCTAGCCAGAGCAATCAGGCAAGAAAAAGAAATAAAGGGTATTCAAATAGGAAAGGAGGAAGTGAAATTGTCTCTATTTGCAGACGACATGATTGTATATCTAGAAGACCCCATCATCTCAGCCCAAAAACTCCTGAACCTGATAAGCAACTTTAGCAAAGTCTCAGGATACAAAATCAATGTGCAAAAATCACAAGCATTCCTATACACCAATAACAGACTTAAAAAGAGTCAAATCAAGAACAAACTGCCATTCACAATTGCTACAAAGAGAATAAAATACCTAGGAATACAACTAACAAGGAACGTAAGGGACCTCTTCAAGGAGAACTACAAACCACTGCTCAAAAAAATAGGAGAGGACACAAACAGATGTAGAAACATTCCATGTTCATGGTTAGGAAGAATCAATATCATGAAAATGGCCATATTACCCAAAGTAATTTATAGATTCAGCACTATCCCCATCAAGCTACCAATGACCTTCTTCACAGAACTGGAAAAAAACACCTTAAACTTCATATGGAACCAAAAGGGCCCACATAGCCAAGTCAATTCTAAGCAAAAAGAACAAAGCGAGGGTTTCACACTACCGGACTTCAAACTGTACTACAAGGCTACAGTAATCAAAACAGCATGGTACCAAAACAGACATATAGACCAATGGAACAGAACAGTGGCCTCAGAGGCAACCCAACATATCTACAAGCATCTGATCTTTGACAAACCTGACAAAAACAAGCAATGGGGAAAGGAGTCCCTGTTTAATAAATGGTGTTGGGAAAACTGGCTAGCTATGTTCAGAAAGCAGAAACTGGACCCCTTCCTGACACTTTACACCAAAATTAACTCCAGGTGGATTAAAGACTTAAACATAAAACCTAACACCGTAAAAACCCTAGAAGAAAATCTAGGCAAAACCATTCAGGACACAGGCGTAGGCCAGGACTTCATGACCAAAACACCAAAAGCATTGGCAGCAAAAGCCGAAATAGACAAATGGGACCTAATCAAACTCCACAGCTTCTGTATGGCAAAAGAAAGTCATTAGAGTGAATCGGCAACCAACAGAATGGGAAAAAATTTTTGCAGTCTACCCATCTCCTTCTGGATATCCAGAATTTACAAAGAACTAAAAGAGATTTACAAGAAAACAACAAGCCCATTCAAAAGTGGGCGAAGGATATGAACAGACACTTTACAAAAGACCTACATGAGGCCAACAAACATATGATAGAATGGGTAAATTTTTTAGAAGCTGACATCAAGTGCTAATGAGGATGTGGGTATGTAGCAATGACAACATTCATTCATTGATGATGGAAATGCAAAATGATCCGGCCACTGTGGAAGACAGTTTTAAAGTTAATTACAAAGCTAAACATAGTCTTACTGTTACAAGATCTTTGGGGTATCTCTTTTCTGGCTGGAAACCCGTGACCAGTGGTGCCTTTGCCCAAGTTTTCCTCAGGCCCACTAGGCTCACTCTGCCCACTCAGCCTGGCAGGCTGCACTTGGTTCACACTATCAGCCTGTAACCCATGCCTCCAAGGGAGACTGTAAGTCAGGCATGAAGCAGCAAGGGATGTGTGAGCAAGTGTGGGGCCCAGCACTGCACAGTAAGACATGCCGGCTGCAGCTGTGGGGTGAGCAGCTCCAGGTGCTGGCCTGGGTGCTGGCTCTCTGTGAGACTGTAACTGAACCAGATGTACCACAAGAAGCTTCCCCAGCTTGCACAAGGGAATGCCGTGGTACACGGAAGCTTGGAGACCCAGGAATCACAAGGCCCCGAAGAAGTCACAGTCCTGGCTTGGGGAGCACCCTGGTCTGGGATCCCCAAAGGACCACAGCTTTTCTCTCCTTCTCTTTGCCCATGTAGCAAGCAAGGGGCATGTTTCAGCCCTGTTTGTGTTACAGTTCTTTTTAGCCTCACCATTTGGTGGGTCTCAAGTTCTTGTCTTGTGACTAGGAAGAATGAAGTATGCAGACAAGTAGAGATGACGAGGAGCTTTACTGAGCAATATGGAACAGCTCAGAGGAGAACGGCAGTGCCTAGCTCCTTTCTGCAGCCAGGGTGTCCCCTTGAGTGTTCAGCTCCTAGAAAAGAGAAGACCCTGGAGTGGGAAGCTCCTCTCTGCAGGCAGGTCATCCCATTGCCTCTGCAGCTCTCAGCAGAGAGGAGGCCCTAGAGAGGGTAGCCTCTCTTAGGCAGGTCACCCCCTCATCTCTTCATCATTTCTCCATCCTCTTCCCAAGTCTGGCCAAGTCCAGGATTTTTATGGGCAGCAGAGGGGAGAAAGTATGTGCTGATTGGTCTATGGGCAGTCATAGGCCCGCACAGGGAAAGGCACTAAAAGTCCCCCTCTGGTTCGTGGAACTGTCAGCCCAGCCACGCAGCTTCAGGCCTTCCCCAGCTTGAAGGTGGGGCTTCACCAGGGATCTGGCCCTTTCCACCCAGGAGCTTGTCTGCCTCCCACCACTATTTATGGCACCCAGGCTGTTCTTGCCAAGGGGTACCTGCAGGCCAGCCCTGAGCTGCCCTCAGTGCCCCCTCCTCAGCTTCCCTCCCATTCTCATCAGTGCCCAAAGTCCAGAGGGGGCCAAGGTGACAGGGCCTGGCATTTCAGCACTGCCCCAAGCATGCACACACCCAGCTGGGTTGCAACAGCGCCTGAGCTCGGCCCCAACCTTACTCTGAGACCAGAACATGAACTGACAGCAGGGAGAAGCCAACCAGCAGAAGCAGGCACTTCCAGGCCTGCGTTGGCAGGGGGTTCCTTCCCAGGCTCCTGAGAGTGCAGAGATGCCTGGATCTGCAGCCACAGTAGACTGCCTTTCAGGCTGTTCTTGATTCGAAGGAGTTCCACCAAGGATCCACCCTGCCTGTCTGCCTGTTTGGCTTCCTCTTTTCTCCTTTCTCATTACCTGTCTCCCTCTGGCTCCCTGGCTCCCTCTAAGACTCCTCCCATCTCCTTCTGGGTAAGGCAGTTGTTTCAATTTTAATAAGTGAAATATGAAACAGAGAAGCACCATTTCTGCCTCAAGACGCATGTAAAGAGGTGTAGATTCAGGTGAGTTCCTTTACAAACATTTAAAACTTATGTTTTCCTCTAATTTTAGTAGCCTATATCAGGAGTTCTTAAGCTTTGCTGCACATCAGAACCACCTACAGGGTCAGTAAATATGCATATTCCTGAGCTACCTCTGGAAGCTCTGATTCCTTTGCTGTGGGGATTTCCCAAGAAACTGCATTCCCTTCAGAAAAGCTGATCTGGGCTGGGCACAGTGGCTTATGCCTGTAATTCCAACACTTTGGGAGGCCAAGGCGGGCAGATTACTTGAATCTAGGAGCTCCAGACTAGTCTGGCAGATTTCTTGAGTCCAGGAGTTCCTCACCTAACATGGTGAGACCCCATGTCTACAAAAAATACCCAAGAAATTAGCTAGGTGTGGTAGCACATGTCTGTAGTACCAGCTACTCAGGAGGCTAAGATGAGAGGATCACTTGAGCTGAGGAGGTTGAGATGTTATCACGCCACTGCATTCCAGCATGGGTGACAGGGCAAGACCCTGTCTCAAAAAACAAAGAAAAATTCATCTGGGGACCATACTTTGAGTAGACCTGACATATAAATAATATTTTTCTTATGCTAAAGGAAGTAGAGAGGTTTATTCGGCTACACATCTTTATGTAATGCCTTGCTATTACTGGTGGCTGTGTAATTTAGAGCTGTCTTTCTCCATCTAAATTATGTTACAGTACATAAAGCTAAATTCACTCCCTTAGAGTTGAGGTGGGCCACGACGATGGGGGAGGGAGGAGACAACCAGCAAAAGGGAGCCAGGCCACCGAATGTAACTTGGAGAGGTTTGAGACGTGCCATCATTTTCCTTTTTATCCCCAAAGCCTTCCAGGTGCAGAACATGACTGCCTCTGAAATTTTTGAGTGAGTTAATAACCAGCAAAAAAATGATTTTTATAGATGCCCAATATCCCTTTTATTTCTAATTGCTGAAAATTTGTATGTTGAGCTTTGTCAAATGTTTTTCTACATTTATCAGAAAAGATTAGTTTTTGTTTTTATTCTATGAATATGATGACTTAAATTGATTGATATTCATGTATTAAAACAATCTCATATTTCTAGGATAAACTCAACTTTGTTATGTTATACTATTCTTTTAAAATGTATTGCTGGGTTTGATCTGCCAATATTTTGTTAAGAATTTTTCTGTCGGCTGGGCGTGGTGGCTCAAGCCTGTAATCCCAGTACTTTGGGAGGCCGAGACAGGCGGATCACAAGGTCAAGAGATCGAGACCATCCTGGCCAACATAGTGAAACCCCATCTCTACTAAAAATACAAAAAAATTAGCTGGGCATGGTGGTGCACGCCTGTAGTCCCAGCTACTCGGGAGGCTGAGGCAGGTGAATTGCTTGAACATGGGAGGCAGAGGTTGCAGTGAGCCGAGACTGCGCCACTGCACTCCAGCCTGGCACCTGTTGACAGAGCGAGACTCTGTCTCAAAAAGTATATATTAAAAAAAAAAAAAAAAAAAAGAATTTTTCTGTCTTGGCCAGGCGTGGTGGCTCATGCCTGTAATCCCAGCACTTTGGGAGGCCGAGGTGGGTGGATGACAAGGTCAGGGGTTCGAGACCAGCCTGACCAACATGGTGAAACCCCGTCTCTACTACAAATACAAAAAAATTAGCTGGGCATTGTGGTGCACGCCTGTAATCCCAGCTACTCAAGAGAATCACTTGAACCTGGGAGGCAGAAGTTGCAGTGAGCCAAGATTTTGAGACTCTGTCTGAAAAAAAAAAAAAAAGAATTTTTCTGTCTTTTTTTAGGAGGAATATTATTCTGTAGTTTTCTCTTATTGTAATTTGTTGGTCTAATTTTGGTATGAGGGTTATTCTGGCCTCATAAAAAGAGTTAGAAAATATTCCATCCTTTATTTCTGTTAGTTTCTGTAAAACTGGTGTTATTTCTTCCCTAAATGTTTAAAAATGTTGCTAGAAAAGTCCTCTAGTTCTAAAGTTTTCTTTGTGGTAAGGATTTATATAGTTCATTCTATTTCTAGAACAAACGTAGGGCTATTCACATTTGCCATATCATCCTATATCAGTTTTGATATGTTGGATTTTAAAAGAAATTCATCCATTTAATTTAAGTCGTTGGATTTGTTAACATAAAATTGATCATAATATTGATTGGGTATTCCTGTAAAGTGTATAAGATCTGTAGCATATTCCCTCTCTTTGTTCTCAATCAATCTAGATAAGGTTTCAGCAGTTTTTTGGTGTTTGTGTCTTTGTTTCTTTGGTTGGTTTTTTCTTCTTTTTTTTCTTTTTTTTTTTTTGAGACAGAGTCTCGCTCTTGTTGCCCAGGCTGGAGTGCAGTGGCATGATCTCAGCTCACTGCAACCTCCACCTCCCGAGTTCAAGCAATTCTCCTGCCTCAGCCTACTGAGTAGCTGGGATTACAGGCGCCTGCCATGAAACCTGGCTAATTTTTGTATTTTTAGTAGAGACAGGGTTTAGACATGTTGGCTGGGCTGGTCTTGAACTCCTGACCTCAGGCGATCCACCTGCCTTGGCCTCCCAAAGTGCTGGAATTACAGGCATGAGTCACTGCACCTGGCCTGTTTTTTTTCTTTTTTGAGACAGGGTTCTGCTCTAACACCCAGACTGGAACGCAGTGGTGCTATTATAGCTCACTGCAGCCCAAAACTTCTGGCCTCAAAAGATTCTCCTGCCTCAACCTTTCAAAGCACTGGAATTATAAGCAGGAGCCACATCTGTGGGCTGATTGTATCAATGTATTAAAATGTTGTCAAACAACCAATTTTGATCTTGTTTATTTTCTTTTTAAATTTTCTATGTTATTTCTTTTATTTTTATTAATGCTTTCTATTTACTTTGAGTTTAATTAGCTCTTCTATTTATAGCTTCTTAAGTCACTGATTTAAGTCTTAGATTTTAGATATTTATTCTTTCATATACAAACATTTAAAGCTAAGAATTTCTCTCCAAGAACTGCTTTAGTTGCATTCCATGAATTTTGGTATTTTCATTATTACCAGTTCAAAATATTTTCTACTTTGCCTTTTGAGTTCTTCTTTGACTCAGAGATTCTTTAGAAGTATGTCAGTTGGGTTTTTTTTAATAAAACACAATCACTTTATTGATTTCTTATAACCAAACACTGCCAACTAGCATTCTTTCCACTCACACATCATTAAAAACAAAGGACATTTCCTCCTTAGTATTTCAAATGATGCATTACACAATAAACAACGTTAGAACTTAAAATGCACCCTGATTATGTAAACCGGTAATCTGTTTAAAAAAGCATAACCAATAATTTGGCCCCTTTCTTCATAAGATGGAAATTTAAATATTTCTCCTGATAGTCCTGAGGTTATCATTATGGTAGTGCAAAGTGTGGCACATATAGTTTCATCTAGAAAGGTCTGTATTTTGCACACCTTATTTAAACGAACAAAATGTGCATTAACAAAATGCATACAGTCAACACACGAGAGAAAACATGTTTCAAATACAAGGCACACCCTTGGGCCACCACATTATTTAGGTTTTGCATTATCATTTATGGCATTATAGATTAATTACACATAACATACTTTTATGCATTTAACCCTAAAGATAAGAAAAATAATTGTTGCTTGAAAAAAATTATTCCAGGTAGCCATTCGGTTAGTATCAGAACAAACTAAACCTCCCTGAGTTTAGTGTCTGCCAAGTTGGAATCATTAGTTCAAGTCAGTGAATCAGATATTCCACACATTTCACAGTGACTGTTTCCCAAGTCCTGGTAATGCCTCTTCTCCCATTCTGCCAGATGATGAAGCATTTCCGGGATGCCCTTTCTATGTGATTTTCCTTTTTTTTTTTTTGCTAGATTAACCATTACTGTATTATTTCCTCTTCTCCCCTCTTTTGTGGCCTTCCATTTTAATTGCTGATAAATCCTTTCAGAATTTCCTCAGGGAGCTCCATAAGGGGAAGTTCTGGAGATGTAAAATCCAAGGAAGAAAGACTGGGGATTGAAATGTCCTTGCCTTTCCCGGTATTTGCTGCAAACTTCTGCCAGGTTGAGGAGACTGTAGCCGTTTCTGAATGTGGCAGCAAGCTCCATGACTCCGACGTTTCAACAAACTCAGCATCTACATCCAGCTCCTTTTCTACTGGGCCTTTTAGAAGTCTGGCCTTTTCAGCCTCTACTCGTTTATTTTCGTTCCTTAATCTTGCCTTCTCAGCCACAACGAATTCCACATGCCTCTTCAAATCTGCAGTTTTGGTTGCCTACTCCTCTATAATTGTTTTATCATCTTTTGGGGCTTTGCTTCCAATACATGGCTCTGCTGACTCACTCTTTTGCTGAAGTAAATATAATAGTGTGTCTTGGATCCCTGTCAAAGATCCCCTGAATCTCAGGCATGTGTTTCTCTGTACTTCTGAGAAAGCGGGCTTTCTCAGAAAAGGGCTGTCCTTCTGAGAAAGGGGGCTCTGGCTCTCTGGATCCTCAGCAGAGGATTTGTGAGATGCCTGAAGATGGACAGCTACATCCCTGTCTGTGTTCTGCTAGGCTTTCAATCTTTCTTTACACTGGCCCCTTTTCCATCTCTCTTGGATGAGGAGGAGCTGTTTCATGTGGCTATCCCTTTGCAATTCCAGTGAAAGATGAGCCTGCTCAGATTGTGTTAGCTTCATGGCTTCAGAAAGATATGCCGCAGCCTTTTCGTGACAAGAAATAGCGTCTTCATATTTGCCTGCAGCTAATAAACGATCTGCTCGTCTGCTCTGTTGATGAGCCAGGTTGAGGGGTCCTTCCATTACTTCCATAGACCCCAGGGTAAGCAGCGGCCTCAGAAGGGGAGCTGTGGTGCTGGCGAACATGGACGGCACTGCAGGGGAACACAACGCAGCCACAGAGACTTCGGCCCCTCGCTGCACCCCAAGAACCAGCGGTGGGCGCAGAGAGAGCAGCAATCTCACCACTTCCTCCTCCGGCGCCTCGCGCGAACCCACCCCCTGCGCCGCAGCCGTGGCTACGTATGGCGCCATGACGTCACAAGCGCCCAGAGTTTTTTTATTATTTCCAAATTGTTGAAGTTTTTCTTGATATCTTGTTATTGATTTCTAATTCCTTTTGAGTCTTTTATGTAATTTTTTTCTCTGCTGAGATTTTCTATCTCTCCATTCATTATGAATATAGTTTCCTTGAGAACAGATACAATAGTTAGACTTCCATACGTATTTACAAATTCCCACATGTGGCTCCTCTCACAGACAGTTGCTTGTCTTTTCTCTTGAGTATGGGTCATGTTTTCCTGTTTCTTTACATGCTGAGTAATTTTGGATTGTGCCCAGAAGAACATTGTTATGTTGTGTAGACTCTAGATTTTGTTTCATTTTTCTGAAAAGTGTTGATTGGTTATTTGGTGTTTGTCTTAACAGGCATTTAAGTTGTATAAACAAAAAACATAATCCTAAGCCCCCCAGCTAACTGAATGGACTCCTCTTCTCAGCCAAGGCCATTCTAAAGTAAAACGAAAACACTAGTTCAGGCCGTGATGCGAATGGGCAGTCAGACATGCCTCATTATCCTCTCCTCCTTTTGTAATCTGGTACAGCTGACCAGCATTAACATTAAAGCAGCCCTTAAGCCTGATAAAATAGACTCTTTGTAGCAATAAGATACCAACCTGACAGATAGCAGGCCCTGAAAGAAGTATTTTACCCCAAAATAAATTTCCTTGATAGATTTTGAAATGGCCCTGCAATGCTATCTCTTGTGGGGAAAATACATTCTGTAGAGAATACCCTTTCCATTATAATTCTTTTCTCTGATCCAGAAGATAATTAAGAGTCCAGCTTTTTTTTTTCTTTTTGAAACAGGGTTTTTCTCTGTCACCTAGGTTGGAGTGCAGTGGCGTGATCATGGCTCTCTGCAGTCTTACCCTCCTGGAAGCAATCTTTCCCCACCTGCCACCACCCCACAGTTTCCTGAGCAGCTAGACTATAGGCATGTGCCACCACACCTGGGTAATTTTTTAATTTTTTGTAGAGACAGCGGTGTCACTATATTGCCCAGGTTGGTCTCAAACTCCTGGGCTCAAACAATCGTCTCCCTTTGGCTTTTCCAAAGTGCTGAGATTACAGGTGTTAGCCACTGTGCCCAGCCACCACACGACTTTAAACTCCATGTTTCTATCATTTCAGTTGCTCTAAACGTCCCTGCCATCTGGTCCAGATGGAGTCCTCAGGCAACCCAGAGAGCACCACCTTTTTTTACTATGACCTTCAGAGCCAGCTGTGTGAGAACCAGACCTGGGTCTTTGCTACATTCGCCACCACCATCCTATACTGCCTGGTGTTCCTCCTCAGCCTAGTGGGCAACAGCTTGGTGCTGTGGGTCCTGGTGAAGTATGAGAGCCTGGAGTCCCTCACCAACATCTTCATCCTCAACCTATGTCTCTCAGACCTGGTGTTCGCCTGCTTGTTGCCTGTGTGGATCTCCCCGTACTACTGGGGCTGGGTGCTGGGAGATTTCCTCTGCAAGCTCCTCAATATGATCTTCTCCATCAGCCTCTACAGCAGCATCTTCTTCCTGACCATCATGACCATCCACCGTTACCTGTCCGTGGTGAGCCCCCTCTCCACCCTGCGTGTCCCCTCCCTCCACTGCCGGGTGCTGGTGACCACAGCTGTGTGGGTAGCCAGTATCCTGTCCTCCATCCTGGACACCATCTTCCACAAGGTGCTTCCTTGGGGCTGTGATTATGCCGAACTCACGTGGTACCTCACCTCGGTCTACCAGCACAACCTCTTCTTCCTGCTGTCCCTGGGGATTATCCTGTTCTGCTACGTGGAGATCCTCAGGACCCTGTTCCGCTCGCGCTCCAAGCGGCGCCACCGCACGGTCAAGCTCATCTTCACCATCGTGGTGGCCTACTTCCTCAGCTGGGGTCCTTACAACCTCACCCTGTTTCTACAGACACTGCTTAAGACCAATGTCATCCGGAGCTGTGAGGCCATCCAGCAGCTGGAATACGCCCTGCTCATCTGCCGCAATCTCGCCTTCTCCCACTGCTGCTTCAACCCGGTGCTCTACGTCTTCGTGGGGGTCAAGTTCCGCACGCACCTGAAACATGTCCTCCGGCAGTTCGGGTTCTGCCGGCTGCAGGCACCCAGCCAACCCCCGGTGCCCGAGTCCCCTGGCGGGTCCTACAATGAGGGCGCCTCCTTCTACTGAGGGTCCTGTGGCGGTGCAGGCGCAGGTGGACAGGGGACTGGAATGGGGGTCACAGAGAAACGCGCCTGAAAGGAGCATTGCAGAGCACACAACAAACAGTGGGGACGCCACCTGCCGCTGCTGACTTGCGGTGAAGGTGATTCATAACGCCAGTGGGTCCCGCCAGCCTCTCGTCGGCAGGAAAGTGGCTTCCTACCTGGGAATTTTATACTGCCACCCGACAAACATTTCTTGAACTCTTGAGTTCATCATGCGAGCTCCTTCATTTGGACATGTGTTTCTAATCAGTGCTTGGTTCAGAAGGTTCTACAACATGAAAGGATTCTAGGAAAGGCGTTTCCTTGGAGAGTTTACAGGGCCTAAAGCTCAGTGTGTGTGATAACTGCGCAATGCTGACCGGAACAGGGTCTCCCTTTCCTGACTGTAGGGTTGTCCCAACTGGTTTATTCACTTTGGAGGCACTGGCTCCATATTCCTCAGATACTGCTGGATGAGGCTGCCGCAAGACAAGAGTCACCATACCCTGAGATAAGCGCAGTCATGTTGAAATGTGGGTTCTAAAAATCCACAACTAGACTGGAGAAATGTTCTGCATCCTAGATCCAAGTCCCAGCCCATGAACTGGCCCTTAGAAATTCAGCTTATAAATATTTGATTGAAGGAATGAATGTAATAAACTTCCTTCTGCACTGTATTCAGAGAATACAGAGATGAATGACATACAGTTGCTACCCTCCAGGGGCCAACAGCTCAGCCCCAAAGTCTGACCCAGCTTGGTGAACACCCACTTTGGTGAAGGCATCTAGGGTGGACTCCTCCGACAGCTCACCTTTCCCAGGTGGGTAGTGAGCTGACTTCAGATTCGTCCCTTCGCACCTAAAGTGTCCTCCTCCTATTTGGTTGATAGTGCCAGCTTCCCCACACCCGCCCACACTCCAAACCTCAAGTTCTGTTGGAGGCCTGTATTTTCTTTCCCTAAATATTCACAGATAGGTCCAAATGACTATGCCTGTCTAGTGGCTTTCAGAGTTGATTCATTCTTGCCATTGCACGCACATGGTTTCATCTCTGAAACAGGGCCTCACTTTGTTCATGTCTCCCGGCTGCTCCTCCCTTTCCCCACCAGGCCTTGGTGTCTCCCCTCCACTCCTCCCTTTCCCCACCAGGCCTTGGTGTCTCCCCTCCACTCCTCCCTTTCCCCACCAGGCCTTGGTGTCTCCCCTACGCTCCTCCCTTTCCCCACCAGGCCTTGGTGTCTCCCCTACGCTCCTCCCTTTCCCCACCAGGCCTTGGTGTCTCCCCTACGCTCCTCCCTTTCCCCACCAGGCCTTGGTGTCTCCCATACACTCCTCCCTTTCCCCACCAGGCCATGCTCTGCCCTGACACCAGGTGCTTTGAAATCCTTAGTGGCTCCTCATTACTTACAAATAAAGTCCAAACACCTTAGCAAGGCTTTCAAGGCCTCCACAATCTGATGCTAGCCAACTTTTCCATTCTTATTCCACTCTAAGCCTCCTCCCTGCAAGAGCTTGGTGTCCAACCCCAAAACACCACTGGCCTTATCCTAGACACTCATCTCTCCAACATCCTACCTCTAGGCATCTGTCATGCTGTCACCTGGGCCTGTAACAGACAGGACAGCTTCTCCAGGAAGCCCTTCCCAATCTGAAAATTAAGAGAACACTCTCTGGATTGTTGTGGAATTCTGCTTGCCCCCTCTAAAATGGTACTTGTCATTCTCCACCTTGTGTTGTAGTTACACAGATGCAATGTCTTCCCTCCCTGCCCATCGGGCTGCAAGCTGCTTAAAGGCAGGGACCTGGTCTTGAACCACATGTTCTATCACTGTGTGCTCAGTGGGAGCAAAAAATCCACAGCTGTTATTATCCTTCAGATTTATGCCCTGCGGCACACTTTACCTTCCTTGTCCCAGGCTGCTTCTCTATAAATATTAACCTTTCTTTCCTAGTATACACTCTCGGAGAGTAGTAGAAAGGGTAGAGTAGTAGTAGAGAGATTGCTTATTTCTCTTTCTCTCTGTGGCAATGGCTATGCTTGATCTTGCCTTCTAGTTCATGGTACACATGCCTGCCTCTCACACTGGCCCATTGCTTCACACAAGGGCATAAATAAAAGCCACTCTAAACTTTGCCATCCACAAAGACCTAGGCCCAATCTGTGAACCTGATTTGGCTCTGGAGTGGGGATTTGGAAAAGCTTCCCATGTGATTCTGACATGCACCTCCATTAGGTACATTTGGCTGCAATTTTTTTTAAAAAATGAGGAGTCCAGAGTCTTCTACAGTCCCTTGAGCAGGGATTTGCACACAGAATACACTCAATATATTGTTATTGAATAAAGTGGATACCAGAATAGCCCTTAATAGCCCTATGGCCAACCTGGAGAGAACTTGTAAGGCACTACCCCTTCAGTTCCAGATGCAGCTTCAGTTATCTATTTGATCTGGAGGAGTTTGATCAGACTAGGGAAGAGCCAGGGTCTAACTTTCATGAGGCCAGTGGCACCTGCTGGAGAAGGCTGGGCGACACACCAATGAAGGAAAGGGGCTCCCATAGGCCTGCCAGCCTAGAGCTGGGGTCACTACTTACCACTGATGGAAGAAATGGCATAAGGAAGAGATAATGAGGTAGTTTGTGGAATCAGAGCTAAGCTTATGGGCTTCTCATCGGCCTAATCTTTCGAACACACTTCACACTGATTCTTAATGTATTGTTCAGCTTTTATTCACAGGCCAGGCTGAGCCAGGAAGCAGAAAGGCAAAGGACTCCTACTCACATACCCACTCGTCAAAACCAAAGCACCTTGGGCTTTGAACCCACCCTTCTTAGAAGGCAGGTTTGGGGACTGATGCCCCTTAAGAGGCTCACTCCACCCTCTCCCCGTGCCATCCCATTTCTACCCATCCCAAGATGCTTATCTGAGTATTTCTTTCAGTACATCCAGCCATCTTCCTGGGCGCATTTTATATCTGAGTCTTTACACTTCTGGTGATATTTTGGCATCCCTAATAGACGGACTCCCAGGGCAGTCTTTAATCAGGAGTCTTCCCCTAATCTAGCTCCTCAAGAATCCAAGGGAAGAGGCACAAAGAGAAGTATGAATGGGAAGACAGAAGGGCAACCCAGTCAGAAAGTGGTGGCTGATACTGTTGAGAAGGAGCTGGCAGAGAGCTGCACACCGGGAGCTATACTGTCTTTCCCTGACCACAACCTCCATTGGCCACCTCCTGCGCTTCTCCTCCCTCCACCCATGGAAACCACTGCTCAATCTCAGCTGGCCTCTTGCAGGCCTATCTCTCCCTCCAAACAAAGGTGTCCTGGACACAGGGCTGCAGACCTCTAGCCACTCCTGGAACACACACACACAAACCCACAGTGGTTCTATAGCATTTACACCTCCACATTCTTTTAGACAGAATCCAGAAGAGAGGAACCTTGCTATCTCTGAAGCAGAGCATGTCTCCAAGCTCAGGGCAGCCCCAGACCTCCAACGGCCTCAGGTGGAGTGGAAATCCCTCAAGGGCACAAAGCCAGTCCCTGCCACCTCACTCGGTATCTGGCAATGTTTGTGGTTGGATGAGTGGGTGAACAGGAGATCATCTTTTGGCTTTTTTCTACTTCCGTTTCCTGTTACCACACTTGCCCACATTGCATCTTCTTGTCAACACCAGGTACTCGGCCCATGAGCTTCTTGTGACCTTGGTCAACCCCAGGTACTCTCCCCATGAGCTTCTTGTGAACCTGTCTAGGGTCCACCAGCCCAAACATCATTTGTTTTGTTTGGAATTAAGCTTTGTTAAACCGTTCACAGCTTTCATTTCATTCTTGAACTTTCCCAGTGCAACTGCCTGTGATGGGACAAAGAAGTCCACAAACACGGAAACCTGGTCTAAAGAAGTCCAAAGTAAACCGTCTGTGGAGTCAAATTGCATTTGAGCCCTAGACCTCAACTCCAAATCCAAGCTCTTTCCCACCGTGACCTTAGGCCTCTCAAGGCTCAGTTTCCTCATCTATAAAGTATAGGGAAGCCAGTAACAGACTCACCCACACTATGAGGGTGTGCATGAGGTCATGTAGTAAAAGAATTTACTTTGTAGATCATTCTGTCCCAGATGAGTGTGAATTACTATGCATCATTTCATTCAAAAAGAAAGCTTCATTGTATTATATGCACAAATAAAAGATTAACATATGTTGTCTTACCTTTGGCTGTCTTAGTCAGTTCAGGCTGCTGTAACAAATACCATAAACTGGGTGGCAAACTCTCAGCCCATAACACTGGTTATGTCCCCTCATTTCTACCAAGAGCATATAGGTTCATAAAAGTCTTCTATTGGCTGGGTGTCTGTAATCACAGTACTTTGGAAGGCGGAGGTGGGTGGATCATGAGGTCAGGAGTTCAAGACCAGCCTGGCCAAGATGATGAAACCCCATCTCTACTAAAAATACAAAAAAATTAGCCGGGCATGGTGGCATGTGCCTGTAATTCCAGTTACTCAGGAGGCTGAGGTGGAGAATAGCTTGAACCCGAGAGGCAGAGGTTGCAGTGAGCCGAGATCACACCACTGCACTCCAGCCTGGGTGACAGAGCAAGACTCTGTCTCAAAAAAAAAAAAAAAAAAATCTTCTATTTATGGAGGCTCTGGGTTAGGGATTAGGGATTGGCAAACAAAGTGTGAAACAAGGACTGTGTGAGTCAGGGTAGTGGGAAACTGGGTCAATTTAGACCTTAGGTGAAATTGTCCAGGACACCAAATCTGTCTTGAATGTTCTGTGACTCAGTCTCCTGTCCCCATCTCTCTCCTGGCTTGATACCCAGGTCTTCTGTCTCCAAGTCCAGGGCTTTTTTTTCCCCTGTATTATAAAATATCTGGGCCTGAACAAGGACCTTTCAGAAATACAGTCCTACAGTCAGAAGAAATGATACTATTACTGGCTGGGAATTTCAGGCATGCTGAGAACTTGGTGTGAGATACTTGGGGTTTCAGGGAAGTTTGGGAAGGGTAAGAGGAATTATCCTGACTCTTCACAACTTATTCTGAGCATAGAGCTTTGCTCTCCACCTTGGGCCCAGCCCAGATCGTAGATGTGGGGTTGCTGCAACCCCTCCCACACCCCCCCCACCCGGCCCCTCCACAAAAGGAAGTGAGACCAGAGGGACCAAAGAGATACAAAGGAAGCTTGGCTCTTTCACTTTGACTGTGTCAGAAAATCAGCGTTGAGCATCATTTATGGTTAGAAAGAAGACATGGACAACAGTTGGATGGTTGCAGGATTGAGAGGGGAGGGAGAGGTATGAGAGAGTGGCATGCAAACCTCCAGGCAATCCCTGGCTGATTTTGTAGAGTACTTTCCCAATGCAAGGGCAGAGTAAAGCCCATGTTGTGGAGAGTGAGACCACAAAAATGAATTGGCCTCCCTCTCGAGTTCGCCACCCTCTAGTCATTTCCAGTTGAAGAAAAGTTTCCACAGGATTACTCCAGGCCCAAGAAATTACTGTCCCTTTTCCCAGCCCATCTTGCTGACCTCTCTTGACTGAAAGAAAATGACCTGGCTCGATTGTCCACCCAACTGAGGATGCACACTTTAAATGTATTATAAAAGCTCTTCCAAGACACTTTGCAATGAACTGTGGGAGTGTGGGGTAGGAGGCACCCACCTTGACCTGCCCCCACCCTCAACTTTGGTTACAATTGGTTCAACAATATGCCAATATACAGTTTCCCAATAGTAAGGATAAATTGGGGTCAGGGGGAGTGGAAAGAACCACTGAGCCCTACTATTTTATCAAAGAATCTTCTGTTTACTTCAAAATTAGAGAAAAAAAATTAGACCCACTTTTCGGGCTGAGTCTTCAGCGAGTCACTTCCCCTCCTTCGAAGCTTATTTCTTCATCTTAACTAGAGAGGTTTGCACGCAGAGCCCTTCTTATGCTTAAAAACAAAGTCCATGGGTCTAAAAAATGTCATGACTTACTTTTTCATGAAATTCTTCAGGGGATACAAATCTATAGCTTAGGGCAGGTTACAGGTTGAATTGTGTCATCCTCTGCCCCCAGATTCATATATTCAGCTCCTAGCCCACAGTCTCTCTGAATATGACCTTATTGGGCAATAGGATTATGGCAGATCATATAAAATGAGATTATGCTGA